AAAAAAAAAAAAAAAAAGAGCTCTCTAGCAGCATTTATCCCCCCTGGCAAGGGTAAATGCCTCCCTGATCTGCCATCAGCAACGCCACCCCGGGCATCACAGTTAGTCACTCACTACTAGAGAGTTAGACTTCCATCTAATGATCTGAGTCAAAGGGTATTTCTGTGATAGTATCTGAAGTGGGGATGTGAAGATGTCCCAAACCCATTAGGATTATTAAATGCAAACATGGCATCTTTTAATGTGCCAGGAATTTGAGAAGCATCTTAAGAGGAAAATGAAATAATTTAATACCTGGAATTTACAGACAAAATACATGAGCCCTCTCTGGCTTTTTCTAATAGCACAATCAATTCAGTTGAGTTTATTCTAATTAGCAGAGAAGAGACATGGTCCAAACATTCTCAAACCTTTCAGTCAAGGAGGGCAAAAGATGATGACACAGTGGCCCTTCCAACACTCAGACGACTTTTCCTTTTGTAGACTGTCAACAGCAATTCTCAAAGGGGTGTTCACTGGGGGGCTTGGGAATGTCAGTATAAATATAAGCACACACTAAAACATACCTAAAACCATATTTCCCCAGCCATTGTCTCTTTAAATGAGGGTACCAGTAGAGTTTAATTAAGTAGCACTGTCATAATTTGCATTTTACTCCCTCACATTCCAATGTAATGTTGTGATTTATAGAAGATGGATTTTTGTATTTCTGAGAATGTTTTTGATAGAATTACTTCTCCCTAAACCACATTATTGCTAAAGTAACAATGAGTGTAAAGATTAGAAGTAAATCTCAATGAATATCAAGCTAGGTGGAGAGGGGAGGAGGGGATTCATTCCTATTTGATACAGCACACAGTATATGGCTGAAGGGCTCACTTTGAACTTTGACTCAATCTATACGAAAACTAAGTATATAAACAAAACATGTACTCCCAATATTCTGAAATTTAAAAAAAATTAAAAAAAATTAGAAAACCTATTTCTCAAAAGTTGTATGCTGAGTTCAAAGGTCAAAAAACCTTGCAAATTTAAGATGGTTATAGCATAACATTAAAAAGCCACAACATAAAAAAGCCCCAGAAATATAAGTTCCCCTCCCTAAATGAAGGTAGGTTTGCAGTCAGAGAAACTTGGGTTTGAATATATGAACTCAGTGAATTACTAGCTATGGGACCTCCGGGGAGATAATAAACTTCTACTGGCCTCTGCTTCTTTGTCTGTTGGGTAAAAACAGTATCACGAGGCCAATTAAATGAAAACTGTAAGAGTTTTCCTGGAATCTGCCAAAAAGTAGGCTCTCAGTACCACTTGTGTTTTCCCTTTCTTTCTCATCTCTTGTACTGTCTGCTACTGTAATTTAAAACACCTGAACACAGTCATACATCAGATTAAGAGAAACAGGATGGGCATTAACTGTTTAAATTTAGAACAAGAAAAAAACCCGCCGTATTTCTGACTTTGTAAAAGGCAATTTTCCAAAGTAAGAATAACAATGCTTGAATTAGTGACCAGAAAGGTCTAAGGCAGGTGTCCTCAAACTACAGCCCGCGGGCCACATGCAGCCCAGCTAAGTCATTTATCCAGCCTGCTGGGTGTTTTTGCCACCGCTGCCTGCCCTGCTTAGCAGCCGACTTATCCCGGGGCCTGCAGTCTGGCCCTCCAATGGTCTGAGGGACAGTGAACTGGCCCCCTGTTTAAAAAGTTTGAGGATCCCTGGTCTAAGGCAACAGTAAGATACTTAATTGTTCTTTCAAAGGGCATTGAAATGAGAAAGTACTAAAGATAAGAGGACAATATCCAGAAATTCACTGGTTATTTTTCATTAAGCCATCTAATAAAAACAAGGGGAAGAAAACAGTGAAGTGTTTTAATTATCTTAAATGTAATTTGACAATAAACCATTTAAAAAGAATATTATCTGAACAGGTTCAGATATCAGAGACACCAGTCAAAGCAAAAGTTATTAGCATTATTAATTTCTGTTGACTTTGTTTCCCCACTGAGGGTTATATCAAAACCAGAGGGAGCAGACCACTCAAACATGGGATGACAGGACTCACCGGTCCTGCAAAGACTAATTCTGGACAACAGGCACATCCCCTTCTATCTTTACTTGCTTCCTCTACACTTCACCTTACCCTTCTCTGCTCCATGCTTACTGAAATCATTCTATCTGTATCTTTATTCTTTAGCTTGTTCCTGGCAGTACAGAAATTCCTTTCAGATAGTATTATCTCTTTTATACCTTGATTCTTCTACTACCATTAATAAATGAGTATTACAAATGTTTAAAATAAGAAGAATAGGGATACAGAAATCAGAGGATTAGGGTAACAAGGCCAAACTTTACCTATTAAAAAAAAAACCCATTATTTTGTCTAGGATTAGAGTTAATTATGATAATATGCTCTAATCATGTGCCTTTACCTCTCTTTCTCGAAACATTTATTTCATGGTTATGCTCGTCAAGCTGCTGAGGGTAACGGTTCTCGCTTTACCGTCAGGGAGAAAAAAGAGAGAAAAAGCTAGACTAAAACAAGATAGCCATTCAAAGAAATGCTGGAATGCTAGAAGTTAAACATTGTCTGGTTACCACTGTTTTAAGATCTTAGCAACTCCGGGATTCAGTACCTGCCCTGGCTCAAGTTAATATTTGGTTTGGAGAAACTAAGTTATCTGAACAAGTCAGAGAAAACCTATATTTTTGTAAGTGCTCAAGTGGAAGAATATTACTGGTAAGAGATTTACAGGCACTCTTAGAAAATGATGTTTTTGAAGCTGGAAGTCCTAAACATTATCTTGTCACCACTTATTGTAAGACTTTGGACAAATCATTTACCTTCTCTGATCCTTAGTATCTTCATTTGTAAAGCCAGGATTTAATTTGTATAACCTAACTGTTATAGACTTATACTATTGCACTATTACTATTACTTCTACCATTAATTATAACACTAATTCCACAATTAAATAAAGCCTTCTGTGTGTCAAAACATTGTGACTTGTTTATAGCTTGTGTCTATATCAAACTCTCTCAAAAGTCCTGACAGTTAAGTATCTTAACTCTCCTGTTACACATGAAGAAACATCTCAGAGTGCTTTGGTGAAATACCCTTCCAGAAGTTACATAGATAATAAGAGCCTGAAAGTGTATCAGTCCAGATCTTTCTGAGTCCACATTTTATTTTAGATCCATTATATCCTGTTTCCTCTAATTAATATATATATATAGTGGTCATACACAAATATAAAGATTATCTCTAAAATATATATTATTCATTTTATAGACATTCATTTATACCGTAATTTCCGAAATTACATATCAATGCTCTTTTTTAAATTTTTTATATTTCAAAGCCTAATACATGGAACAGAGTAGGTCCTTAATATTTAGGGGAAAGGAATTAATATGTAGGAGGTAACTAAGATGACTGTTAATGAACAACTGTGTGAGCAATAACAGTGGCTACTTACAGCCTCCTCTTCAAGATTTTGTTATTAAAAATCACTCTAGAAGGCAAATACCTTATGGTATCATTTACACGTGGAATCTCAGAATATGCCAAACTCAGAGTTGCCAGAGGCTATGTGGGACATGAGAAGATATTGGTCCAAGGGTGGAAACTTCCAGTTACAGGAAGACAAAGTGCTGAGACTCTAACAGACAGCATCCTGACGACAGTTGATAATAATGTATTGTACACCTGAACTTTACTAAGAGCGATCTTAACCATTTGCACCAAAAAAAGGGTAATTATATGAGGTGATGGATGTGTTAATCAACTTGATTGTGGTAATCATTTCAAAATATATACATGTATCCAATTAGCAGGTGCACTTGAAATATGTACAATTTTATTTATCAAATATACCTCATTTTAGTAGAGCTGAGAACAATTCCTTCTAGGGGAAAAAATATACATGGACTAGCAAAGCTTCAACTGTAGACACAAAGCTGATATGATAATAGTAAAGGAGTTACTTTCGCCAACTTCGTGGCCCAGGTAAGAAGAGAGAGAAAAGATTCCATTTAAAATTATATATGCTTCCCCTTTTTCAAAGGGTGATAACATCTGCCACATTTAAATCTTCAAGAAAGCTATTCTGTAACTTCCTACCACGACAAGATAATGATACTTGCCGTATTTTATTTCTCCGACATTGTGTGTGAATATTAATGATCAGATAGTGATATTCAAAATGAATGACGTTTTTTTCAGAGTTAAAGCGAAGGGTGCAGGAAGTATTAGAAAAGATGCACAGAGATCCTCTATCCTATTAAAACGTAAGTTTCTGACTTTTTAAACACTCCATTCTCGGCCCTAATCTCCTGAAGACCATTTAGCTGGGTGGAAAGCTGATGACACGTGTACCGGTTCAAGCTAGAATGACATGGCTGGGGGACAGGAGAGGCTGCAGTTTCCGTTATCCATTGAACACCTTGGCAATTCTTATTTCATCCTGAGAATATGATACTTACTCTTGTACTGCTCTGGCTATGGAAAGGGCCGTAGATCCAGTTTCATTAACGCTATCTAAGGTCACATTTGGCAGGTCATCATCATCACTGTCACTTTTACTTTGTCTGGGAGATAGGCCTCGGGGGTCCATTTGTGCTGGGAAAAAAAGGCATATATAATGAATTAAAATTAGCACGCAGAAAGTTAACCTTGTCCTGGACCAACATCAAGCACGGATCGTCTCTTCTGTGCATATCGCGCAAATGGAATTCTCTAGACATCACAGGAATGAATGAACGCTCTGTATGGTAGGCACCAAGTACTCACTGACTCTTTTTTCCATTCTTTGGAATTACAAACCCTACACCGGTTCTCCAGTGTTCCAGGGTATGATTATAGAAAAGAAACTATAAAATCCATGGCATTACCAACTCCTACATGGTCTAAAGCTGATTATGGAGCTCAAGAGCTACTGTTCAGCCTCTGGCTGCTCCTCCTCCTTGCTTCTGCTGCCAGAGTTCTGGCCATTTCCTTGCTCATTAGCACTTTCCCTGGAAGGCAGAGAGCATGGGGTACAGGGGATATGATTTGCTTATAGCTCTCAGAATAAGTTAAAAGAAGAACAGGGTTTGCATGAGTAATGCGAAGTCTCAGGTACTTTCTGTACTTGGGTGAATCATTGTCTCGCAGATCATGCCTTTTGTACGTGGAGATCTGAGTGCATGAAAAGGACAGAAGTGGGTTTTAAATATCTGTCTGTAGATGCTAAAAGTGCTCTTCATTTCCAACCTGATTTCATTTATCAAAAGGCATTTTCAGATAGTAACCTTCTTCTCCTGTGAACGCGCCAAGGCCAGCCATAATTCAATGTTCTGACCCCCGGGGCCAAGACTATCAGATCCTTCAAATGCGAGGGCTGTTGTCGACATGTAATATGTTACCACATTGTTTTCAAAATTAGGTTTCATTTCCACCTACTTTTCCCTATGAACAGCTTTAGCAAACACTGCCCAGAATTTCTATCAGACCCTGCCTCAAGCACAAAATTAGCACATTTTTTTCAATGATATAGCTCCATTGTTAAAATAAGCAACTTCAATCTCACCTAGCTCTGACCAGACTGTTGATCATCAAAGCCGACTACTAGGTAACATTTCTAAAACTTCTACCACTTGCAAAGGAAAAAAAAAATGCACGGACAATCATGGTTACAATGACATTTGGGCACATTTAGAATTTCTTTTGTCTCAAATCATTTTTTTGTTACTGTGCGTCATGCATTAGGCAGAACCAGATGAAATTACTGGTATTTCACCTTTTTTTTTTTTTGCACACAAATAGGTAATTTTGATGATTGTACCTAATATTTACTAATACAATATGGCAACAACTATACCTAGAGAGTCTGAATGTGTGGCTAACTAGTTTAAGAAAGAACTTACATCTGTTGAACACAGTGTATGCTAGTATATTTGGCATACATTCTGCTATAAATGTAAATATACCAAAATGTGCTTTGCATAATGGAAGTATTTGGTAACTATTGGTTGAATTAAAGAGAAAATAACTCAAATAATCTGAAGGCAGCCTATCCTCAACTGAGGTGAAATTTGCCCCCAAGAGACACTTAGTGATATCTGGAAACAACGGGAGCGGACGGGAGGAAGGATGGTACTGGTATCCAGTTGGCAGAGGCCAATGATGCCATTAGATAGCCTACAATAGACAGAACTGTCAGCCCACCACAACAAAGAACTAACCATTCTTAAATGTCAATAGAGATTGAAGAGTTCAGAAATTTATACAAAAGTATAACACTTTTTGACCATTCAATTACATAACTATTCCAGTTTCACCATCACTAACAAAGAAACTGTGATACACTGGATTATCCATATTTTCTGGTCCTCTTCTCAAATAAAACAATTCATTATCATGCGATTCTGCAATTAATTTTCTCAAATACAGCATTCATTTCTTCAAGTGCCAGGAAAGATTCAGTAACATTCACTAAGAGCTTTTTGAATATTTCCTTTGTACAATATACTGGGAGACAAAAAGACTTTATTTCCCAGCTGATCTCCAGATAAGATTCCCTAAGGATGCTGGAGAAACTCTTTGTAGGGCAAAGCAACCAGGTCCACCACCATCTGGTAACTGGTGGCTTAACTGTTCGGTCACTCCAACAGAACTTGAAGGCATCTTATCATTTAAGGTTCATTTTGCTGTAGGAAATAGACACTGGCTCAGGCTAACTAATATTCAGAAGAATGTACTAGAAAGACACTGAGCTGCTCACAGAATGGAGGATGAATACAACCAGCGCTCAAACGACAGGACCCAGGGATGATCTGGGCATTTCAGTAAGGAATTCACAGATAGTTTCTCTTTGGGTAATCATTATCTCGAATGAGTCATTTAACAGCCATCATAACTATTCAAAGCCGCCAGCCAAGAAAATGAGTATCAGATCTATCTAGGCTTCCAAATGACATATTGTGTGGTGTAACTTACGCTGCAAATGTCAACAATTTAACATTTAAAGCTGTTGAAACACCAAGCACGCTAAGACGCCTTTGCCAAGATACCAAATTAGCAAATAGCCAAAGAAGAGAGAATATCCTGGTCATCCCACGTTGTCCAAGACAACTAGAGCTCTCACAGGTAAGTAACACAACTCAAGGAAGACCCAGCCAGCCCACCAGTAAGCGGTCTGGCTCTGAAAGTCAAAGTCTAACTGTATGAAAGATATCAAATAACGTGGGTGAGAGTCATTACACGATCGTCTAAATTATGTTATGTTTACATCTTATTGAAAGTTTAAAATATGTTAAATGTGATATCTTTTTGATGTACTTTTCAGGAGCGTCGTAATTGAGGATTTCTTTCCAATATTTTCAATAAATATTATGAAACACATCTGCTACCATCATGCTGGGAAATTCTTTTTACTCATACCTTCAGCCAAGCTGAGGAAGTAATTAGAAAGGCTTTTTAAAATCTGCATTGCTGATTAGGTCAGATGATTAGCTTATCTACAGACTTGCATAATTCCACTCTATTTTTATTAAATGTGGAACAGGGACATCCATCCTCTTCCACCTCCATTAGTCTTTGAGCTTCTCAGTCTATTTGGGAAGGACTGACCCTCTGGGTGCCCAGCTAGAGACTATAGGAAAGTTGCTTGGACATCAGAACGAACAAACCAACAAACCTACTTCTCTAAGTAGGAGACCAGGAGGTGATCTACAAGCATCCCAAAGAATTTTCGCTTGAGATTTTAATCCTTTTAAATGAAAAAGGGATCAGACAGTTTGGGGTACTCTAGCTCACGGCTGGAGGAGCTGACACTCCTCTCAGTTGGAGGTGCTCAGGGACACCATTGAGTTTCAATCTGTGTTAGAATTTTACTATAAAGCACTACCCCTCCACGTGTCCCTATATCATGCCCTTATGTGGTTGCTTCTCACAATGACTCTGGGTTTGATGATGTGACTTGATGTCATATAGTGGGATGAGCAAATGTGGCAGAAGCAGAGGATTGAGAAGCACAGGCACACTGGCATTCCCTTCTCTCTTGCTGTGTTTAGGACCTAGTCAATACATGAAGCAGCCTAGGTGACCCTACAAGAGTCCTGCTGCTCAGCTGGGGGCCCCAATCTCACCTGCAGATGCACAGTGTGCCACTGTAGGCCAACCAGCCACACCAGTCTCCAGATGACCATGGCCACATAAGTGACCCTGGGTGAGACCAGCATGGAAACTGCCTGGCTACACCAATCCCAAATTTATAACCTGTAGAATTGTGAGCCAATAAAATTGGTCCTACTGTAACTTTGCCATATCTGGGGAGGATCTGGTAGGAGGCAATACAGGACCAGCGCGCCATGAATTCCCAGCTGCTTCCAGAAGAAATTCCTTCACAATGAAGTGGACAAACTATCACTACGACTATCAGCCTAGCATTCTGCTAAAATGAGCTAAATTTGGCCTAAAGCTGCCTCTGCACATATTTTAAGTGTGGCCTAACGTTTTCTCTGTACATGTTGAACCCTAACACAACCTGATGCATAAACAGCTTCTAACCTACTCATAACAAGGAGCTGAGTCCCCGCCTCTCATAACCGCCGAGTTTCAGCAGATCACAGGCAGCCAACTGTTCAAATCAGGTTCAATTCCGGCAAATGCCGCCTTTAAATGACTGAGCCAACACCTCACTTCCGTCTTTTCTGTATGTCACTTCCTTTCCTCTGTCTGTGACTATAACCTGCACTGCAGTGGGGCAGCACCTTCTCAACCATTTTCAGTCCTGACTGCTGCTGCTGGATTCTAGAATTGCAAATTAAAGCCAATTTGCTGTAATTTTGTCTTTTAACAACATCCTCCTGCTTTCTGCTCCCCAGAGCCAAACTTGCTTTTAGTGACATAAATGTAAGTATGATATTAATATATAAAAAAAAAAAGGAAAGTAAGATCTCCCTACCGAATTCTACATTATCTGCTTTCCAATTCTAAATACTTGAAGAAATTCACAGGTGTTCTGACTTCCTCGGCCTCTTCTTTTATTCTGCGGTGTTAATCAGGTGGGGTTTGTCTCCCCTAAGGGGCCATCTGGTGATGGTAAACAAAGATTTTCTATCCTTTCTCTCAAGCTCCTGATGGGAGGCTCCTATGGGTGGGTTCTCCCTGGTGTGAGGTCACCCAGACCTGTATATCATGTCTGACTCTCCCACGCACATGAGGCATTTAAACTTGGCTTTTTTTCCCTCCCGCTTAATGGTACACTGACACGGACAGGCTCACGTCCATGCTCACCTCCCGTCATCTCCGCCCGGGGACTGACCAAAGATTAAGCACTTTTCTAACTTCCACTGAAATAACTCTGCCCAACCTCCGTATTTTTTTTTAATTAAATGATAGCTGTATACATTAATGCAAACATGGGGTACAGTGTAGTGTTTTCATATACAATTTGAAATACTTTCATCAGACTGGTTAACATAGACTTTGTGTCATTTACTTAGTTATTGTGTTAAAACATTTATACTCTAGTTCTAGAAAAGTTCACTTGTACCCTTGTTAGACAGGCCATATAGGTTATCTTTCCAGTCACCCAATCTGCCTATTCTTAAAGGGAAGGATGTTCTCCTGTAAAA